TATTATTTATTGATTAAAATCATAAAATTTCTTAAATTTATTTATTTTCATTCAAAATATTAATTAAACCTTAATAAAGGTAAAATTACAAACATAAATAATAAGACTTAAAAAAATATAAATTAAAACCAATTTTTACTACAAAATTTTGTCTCAAATTTCTTTTCAATATTTGAAACAAGCCCTTCAAAATTTTGCCTCAATTAAAATTTCCTCATAAAATTTTGTCTAATTTTCTACTCCCTGTCCCAAAAAAAAGAAAAAGGGGAAAATAGAAAAAGACTACAGGGAGATGTGTTCGAGAGAGAGAGAAGACGAAGAAGAGATGGAGGGAAAAGAGACCATGACGAGAGACGGAGGGAAGAGCAGTCCTTCAAAGCAACAGCCATTGCTTCGCTCGTGATGGCCATTGAGTTGCTCGAGCAGTCCTTCAGAGCTACCTACTTCGCAGCCCGGTTCATCTTCGCTTCTCCCTCCGGTCGACGAAGACCCGCGAACGAAGCAAACGGAGCCGTCTCACCTCTCCCTCCGACCGGAGCTCTCGCACCTCTCCCTCCCACCGTCCAATTTCAGGTGCATGTTTAGATACTAGGGTTTTGAGTTTTGATTTGAGGCTTTTCAATTTGAAAATTAGGGCTTAGGGTTTTTGAATTTCAAAATTTGGGGTTTTTCAATTTGGGGTTTAGTGTTTAACTTGGTTGATTCAGTTCCTGGTCAGTGTGAGTTGATAGATGAGGAACAAGCATTTGGGGTGATTGTGGATTATGCTTATACTCCTGATGCCTTGTCTAGACTACTTGACTTTGTAAAGGAGCTTGGACCAAGGAGGATTATCACTGGTATGCTTCTTATATGCTTTATCAAAATGCAAATGATTGGTACCATATTTTTGTTGGCTTTTTACAGAGTTGTGGTTTGTCCCTTTTATAAAATCAATATTTGCAATTTTCACACAAGTGCTGATAGAAACTGATGATGTCTAGGTTTGTTGTAGCTCAAAAGTTTCTTCATTTGGTTTAAAAAATGGCTAGTTTTTTTTTTTTTTTTTGACACAAACTATTCTTCCAGTTTCTTCCAAAATTTATTTATTTATTTATTAAAAATTAATTTAATGGCTATTCTTCATTTGTTTTTATTTATTAAAAAATTAATAAATAAAAAAAGAAGATAAAAAAAAGAAAAAGAAAAAAAGAACATGTGTTAAGTTTGCATTCCAGAGTTGAGATTGTCCAGGTTGAAGCCTCAATAATTTATTTAAAGTTTCAATATTTCACCAAAGTGTTACTATTTATATTTCATCAAATGAATATTTAATTTTGAACGTAGTCAAAATTGAGATGTTGGTTTGATGGAGCCTTTTGTGGAATGAACTTCAGTTGTCCTTGATGTTGACAGCTTTTATGTTTACCCTTTATGTCACGCCCCCAAACCGCCCCTAGTAGTTTGGTGCCGTGATGGCCAGTAATCCGAGGTTACCGAAGGCCGACTTACAAAATCTGACACAATCAGAGTATGAAATATGGGGCTTACAAGTGCAGAAGCAATATATACAAAAAAAATCTGAGTAGTCCATGAGAGCCGTGCATAAGTCCAATGGAATGACATACATTTTTACAAAGTCTTAAAACTTAAATACAATAAGGAAATAAGGTACAAAATACATCTTGACCAAAAGGCTTCTCAAGCCGACGTATACAAGTACACATGAAATATAAGCTAAGAAGCATGATCTTCAAGATGGTACAAAATGCAATCCCCAAATAGGTCGGCAATGCACCCAAAACATATCGGCATTATTCGCGTGAAACACGTTAGGATATTCTTTTTCCTAGTTAAAACCTTTCCCCTCTCCATATGAAATATGATAAGATATGCCTGTTTGTTGCACCACTCCTCCGTCCTTTCACGTGAAATGCATTAGGATGTTGTTTTCTCTCTGTTAAAACCTTTCATCTCTCCATATGAAATATGATGAGATACGTCTGTTGGTTACACCACCCTTCTCTCCTTTCGCGTGAAACGCGTTAGGATGTTCTTTCACCCAGTTAAAACCTTCTCTTTCTCCGTATGAAATACGGTGAGATACAATTATTGGTTACACCCCATTTGTCCCCCTTTCGCGCGAAACGCATTAGGTTACTCTTTTCCTAGTTAAAACCTTACCGCTCTCTGTATGAAATATGGTGAGATATGTGTGTTGGTTACACCACCATTCCGTCCTTTTCGCGTGAAGCATGTTAGGATGTTGTTTTTTCTCGATTAAAACCTTCCCTCTCTCCGTATGAAATATGGTGAGATATGCCTGTTGGTTACACCATCCTTCTGTCTTTTCACGTGAAACGCGTTAGGATGTTGTTTTCTCTCAGTTAAAACCTTCCATCTTTCTGTACGAAATACAATGAGATATGCATGTTGGTTACACCACCCTTCCGTCCTTTCGTGTGAAACACATTAGGACATTCTTTTTCCTGGTTAAAATCTTTCCTCTCTCTGTATGAAATACAGTGAGATATGTTTGTTGGTTACACCACTCCTCCGTCCTTTCGCGTGAAGCGCATTAGGATGCTGTTTTCTCTCGGTTAAAACCTTTACTTTCTTCGTATGAAATACGGTGAGGTAGACCTGTTGTTATACCGCCTTTGTCTCCTTTTCTCGTGAAACGTGTTTGGTTGTTCTTTCCTTAGTTAAAACATCTCGGGTATATTTGGTTTGAGTTTGGGAGATGAGTTTTAGAGATAAAAAGTACGAAAAGTTATTTGGTTTGATTTTTTTCAAAAGATGTTTTGGAAAATTATTTTGAGAGAGAGTTTTGGAAAAAGTGATTGATTTGATGTGTATGAGAGTGAGATTTATTTAGAAAACTTGTAAACCAAACAAGTTTTGGGAAATTTTTTTGGAAAAATTTGTTTGGTTTGATTACTTTTGAAAACTTATTTGTAGAGAATTTTTCTCAAAAATTTTTGAGAAACACAAACCAAACAAGGCCCCCATCTCTCCGTATGAAATACGGTGAAATACGCCTGTTGCTTACACCACCCTTTTGTCTTTACGCGTAAAACGCGTTAGGATGTTAGGATGTTGCTTTTACCTGTTTATAACCTTCTCTCTCTCCACATTACCCTTTTGTCTTTACGCGTAAAACGCGTTAGGATGTTGCTTTTACCTGTTTATAGCCTTCCCTCTCTCCACATTTTGGAATCAGACTAATATTAAATTAATATATATATATATATATATATATATGAGCTTTATAAATTTCGGGGCATTATAAAAAGTAATTACCTTGAGTCATATCATCATGATTTATGTGTACTACATGGTAAGAATGAAGCTATTCATGCTCAATTGATTAAAAATTATCAGTTTTTTGTGTAATAAAGTATGAATACAACTTAAGCGAAGCTTGCTTTGGGAGGTCGGGATAAACTTTCAGGTTATAGTCTCTTACTCGGAACGGACAACAGGACACCTTGGTGATCTCCTCAAGAGGCGCTGCCTTGGACCTGCGGGAGAGTGGGAGGATTTTCCTGTAACAAAAAAAAAAAAAAGGTAAGTCTTGACAAATTACTATTCAACTATAAAAAAATAAAAAAATAAAAAAAAGAAGTTCCTTTTGATTCATGTTCAAATCATTAGAATTTCGTTTGAAATTAACTCGCAATTGAAACACACCAATAACATGAGCACGTTTAAAAAATTGTTAAATTTTTAAATGAATCTTGAACAATCTATTCCTCAATTCAACTTGGCTAATTTGCTGTCTTAATCTGTATTGTATATTTTTCATTGACATTCTATGGTACACATCCCTAAAAAATGTGTGCCATATGCATCTCGTTATGGATTTTTGTAATATAAATGTTATATAATTTTTTAGTAGAGTTATCACAATTTATGTTCCAAAAATGAAATTACATATTTTGTAGTAATATTAAGTGTTTTGTGGTTAATGTTACACATTTTATGATTAAAAAATATTTAAATAAAAAAAATATGTAATAATACCTTTAAAATGCATAAAATTATCACAAAATAAATAATTTTATTTCTAAATCATAAATTGCAATACCTCTAAAAAAAATACATAATATTTATTAGAAAATGTCTAATATATACCACAAAATATAAAACAAAGTACACACTTTTCACGAGTGTGTACCATAGCATATCTGTGTACGAGTGTATAGCCCTGTTTAGTGAGTCCGGATTCTCGGCCGCCCTACCCGGCCGCCGTTTCTAACAGCCCCCAAAATGACGTCGTTTTGGGGGCAAATTTTCAAAAAAAAAAAAACGCAGAGGAAGAGAGGGAGGAAGGAGAGGAAGAGGGAGGAAGGAGGAGGGAGGAGGAGGAGGAGGAGGAGGAAGGGAAGAGCCGGACTAGAGGGGGCCATAACCAGTGGGGGAGGAGGAGGAGGAGGAGGAGGCGGAGGTGACGGCGGTACAGCTGCTGCGACGAGCTGGATCGGGAGACGATCGGATGGCTACGACGGCCGGCGGCGAGGCGACGAGCTGCGATGGCGAGCTCGCAGCCTCCTCCCTCCTCCTTCCTCCCTCTTCTCCCTCTCCCCTCCCCTCTGGTTTCTGTTCGAAGAGAGAGAAAGCTAAAACGGAGAAGAAGAAAAGAAAAAAAAAAACAAAAAACCCCCAAAACGACGTCGTTTTGGGGGCTGCCGGGTAGGGCGGCCGAGGATCCGGATACCTGTTTAGTAGGGTTTATTTTCAGTTTATTTTAGCTTTTAGTTTAATTTAAACTATTTTGATGTATTTAGTTCAGTTTAATAATACAGCTTATAACTTTTTATAAGTAAAAAATTAACTTATTCTTTGAGCAGGAAAGAAAAAATTTAATTTATTAATTAAAAATCAACTTATATTCACAATTATAAATTATAAACTATTAGATTATAAGTTATAATCACTTTCTCAAAACTATACCAAAACGGGGTCTTATATATGCTTATATGTTTGGGGCCTATATGTGCTTATATCAAGTAGTGTCCTGTGACAGAAAGATTGTGAGAGAGAGAGAGAGAGAGAGAGAGAGAGAGAGGGGAAGAGAGAGAGTGAGAGTGTGTAATGGAGGTTGAAGCCGATGGAAACTCAGAGTCTTTCATTAAGATTCCAGAGATAAAGTTCACAAAGCTATTCATCAATGGAAATTTTGTCGATTCCATTTCAGGTTCTTAATAAATCCTCCTCCTCTCTTTTCTCATGTATCTTTCTTTTCTTCCATTTTCATCTTTTTCCTTTTTGGATGTCCCAAAATATGAAAATTCAAATAAAAGATAACAAAATATTTAAAAAAAAAAGAATAAGATTGGGATATAAATATCCCAAAAAGATGATAATTTTTTTAACGATCTATATTTATCTTTTGTTATTTTGTTTTAAAATTTCTATATATTTCAACTTTATCTTTTTAAAGTTTATCTTTAAGTGAAATTTAATATTTTATCTTTTAAAATCATTAATAATGAGAATAAAATGGACAATATGATAAATTAATATATTTTTATTGGATTTCAAAACAATAATTACATGTCCTATTAAAATGTTAGGATTTCCAAAATTAACACTATTAGTATGATTTCATACACAACTCTCTCACACGACATACGTTTCATATTTGATTCTATGATTAATTTATGTTCAATTTTATAATTAATTTTTGTGGACATAAAAAAAAAATATATATATATATATCTCTGGTAAGTTTACAGTTTGTATTTCTCTTTCATTAGTGGTTCCAGAATTTATAGATATGTTTACAGTTCGTATTTCTTTTTTTATTAGTAGTTCTATAATTTATAGATTGCCATGTTTGAGAAGAAAAATTTTTAGTCAAAAATCAAATCATTCTCTCTATTTAATTAAAAAAATTAAATTTATTTAATTTTGAAGGGCTTGAAAATAATATATTTGTGCATAAATATTTAAAAAGGACCATACACTTAAAAAATAATATATTTGTGATTTTTTTTATTTTAAATTTTTAAAAATTTTCTACACAAATAGTTGTATATTTTTGTATGTAATAAATTTTTTTTTTAAAAAAAAAATCATAAGCATTTTACTTGGTGTTTGGAAAGCTAGTTTTTTGGTTAAAATAATAAAAAAATAAATAAATCAAAATATCAAATCACATCATCTTTTTTCTTTTTTTAAACGTATTTTTGTAAAAATTTAAAAAGCAAATCAAAATAACCAATTTCTAAAAAAGATTTAAGTATATATGTAAATTAAAGCCAAGTTTGAGAGCCACCTAAAATACTTTAAAAAAAACTCAAAAAAAAAAATATTATCACAAATTTAATTATTTTTTTACTTTTTACACATACTTTCGTAAAAAGTCAAGAAAAATATTTAAATTTTTAATTTTTTACAAAAAGATATACAAAAAAGAAAAATATTTAAATTATTAATTTTTTACAAAAAGATATACAAAAAAGTAAATAGAAGAATTAAATTTTAGTAATAACTTTTTAACTATCTGCGGTGATTTAGAGCTCTAATAATAGATCTCTAATCAGAGCTCTACTAATGTGACAAAGCAAAAAATAAAAATAAATACAAAAATATAAGTCAAAACATCACATCACATAATGAGACCCACCATTAAAACTATCTCTAGAGCTTTTTTTTTCACCACTGTCAATCTTTATTCTTTTAACTGTTTTAAATTTTTGACATTTGAGATAGTTGGCCAAAATGAATGTCAAAGTCATTTTTTATTAGACTTTCAATTCAAATAGTCTTATAATCAAACTATAATTTCTTAAAACTTAGATTGGTTCTTTTTGGGAGCTTGACTATTTTAATTAGTTTTTTTTTTTTATATTTCGGCTATTTTAATTTGGTAAGAAAGTTAAATTAAATTTGGGAATATTGTTGACTTTGTTTTTTATTTTTATTTTATTATTACAGCTTTTTTTTTTTATTTAGATATAATATTTTGTTTTATTAACTATTTTAACTTATTTTATCTTTATTAGTTGTTTTAGCGTCAACCTTCTTCCCAAACAAGCTCAATTAAATTTTCCACAATGTTTGTCATGTCGACTTTGTATGGAGGTTACAACAATGGAATCTAACGGCTAGAGATCAACAGCTCTAGCCAAGTTGGTCAATCTGTTGGTCAGTGGGAGATTAATAATGGAATGTTTGAGATGTGTTTTTAACTTGTATGAGTAGCTAATTTTCTAGATAATTTATTTTTGTGTTGTGTTGAGATTTACCTAAAACACATGATTGGCGAAATAATTACAGTTATGCGAAATTTACTCTGTAAAAATGAATTCAAACTGACATTGCCTTAGTGAGATGAGATTGTTCAATAGCAACAAAATTAATTAGAGCAACGTTACCCAAAAAAAAAAAAAGGGAAAATGACACTGTTATTAGGTAAAAGAAATGGCTTTAGTTTTGCTAATTTGGCTGTCAGCATTGGAGACGGGTCTAATACAAGTAACCTATTGTTTGGGTTCTTCATAATTAGGCAAAGAAAAATGATTGGTAGCTCGAATTTGAGTTTGTCCGAAAGTCTGAATTTGTGCTTTCTGGTCGACTGCTTGGACAATTAGTGCAACACTTATCTATTGCGATTGTCACCCTTGTCGACCGCGCCTGTCACCATCTTTTCGAATGACCGGCTGGACAATAGGCAAGTTAAAATTCGAACGATTTTGGACAAATTCAGATTGAATCTACCAATCAGTGGTATTGGGCAAATATCCATGTATATAGTCTTTTTAGTATGGATTGAGTCTTCACAAACAAGTAAGAAAAGTGAATTATAAATAAAATTTGTATAATAAATTTATTCAGAATGATGTGGCAATCACATTTTTAAAATATTATTATTTTGGAAAAAAGGAAAAACATTTGAGAGTATAGACCCAAGAAGAGGAGAAGTGATAGCAAAGGTAGCAGAAGGAGACAAGGAAGATGTTGAGTTTGCAGTGAAGGCTGCCCGAGAAGCTTTCGACCATGGCCCCTGGCCGCGCTTATCCGGCTCTGTAAGTGTGTTGTTTCATTTTCATTGGATTTCATGATATACAACTATTTGAAAAGATGATTTTCTAATAAATTTATTTTTAAAATTATTTGGCAAATAGACCAAAATTTAAATCTTTTCGGACCAAAAAGACGTTATTTATAAAAAAAAAAAAATTTAAAAAAAAAATGACACCTAGCTATTTATTTGTTCAAATGTCACATATTTATATCTGTGTCACTTATCTATCCAAATGTCTACTTATTTATACATGTGTCACCTATCGATTCATCTATGTGTTCAATGTCATCTATAGTTGCCCACTTCACTGCCACCAATCACCATTGCTGGCGACTTTTTCCTCCCTTTTTCTAGCTAATTTTTTGGCAAATTTTCAACGTATGTCCTTAAATAACATATGGCCACATAGGAATTTACTTTTCACCAATTAATCATTTTAATTATAGCAATTTTGACTTTGAATTTTTTGGATGATGTCAATTTAATCTAATTAATAGCTTTTGTTTATAAATTAGAATAAAGTCATGAAAAAAATTTACCCATTCATTGTTCTTAAAAAGATTTAAGAAAACATCCAATTTTAAGGGTACTTTTGTTTCTACACACTAATCACTCTCAGTGCATATCATCTCTCAATGCAAATACTAAATGATTTTAAAACTTGATTATTTGCTCAGTACACAACCCTCATGTTAAAAATACTCATACCTTCTTCAATATTCAAGACCTAATCTCAACTCTAGCCACCATCTGCTACCATCTCCAAACCTAAACCCTAAACACATTGTAGTCTCTTCTCACCTCCCCTTCAGCCACAGCCTTCTTTTTGGCCTCACTCCTCTCTAGACCCCACTCCTCCAACCTTCACCACTCTGACCCAACCCCTTTCCCTCCTCATGCCAACTTCCCAAGACCTTGAAACCCTAGATCGAAGCAAAAGACACCATTTTCGTTGCACCTTAAGACCTTAAATCTAGGAAGAATAATAAGAATGAGGTGGGGTGGAAGAGGTTGAAGGAAGAGGCAAAGATATTAGAGCAAGTTGGGGAGGAAGTAGTGGAGGAGAGTGATGCTAGTGACAGAGGCTGGTGGTGGTGGCTGATAATTTTAGGATTAGGGTTTGAGATGGAGAAGATAAGGATATTATGTTGGTTTTTATTTTAACATAAAATTATAATAAAAATGTTGAGTAGGTATAAAAACTAAAAAAGAGAGTGTGGAAATAAAAGCTTCTCAATTTCAAACGGTTCATTCCCTTTTAAATAGATCATTTTGCTCTTCATTAATATCCAATTTCTTAAAAGATGTAATTAATTAGACTAAACTAACATAATTTAAAAAATTCAGGTCAAAATTAATATAATTAAAATTACATAAACCAAATTGATGTAATAAACAAATTACAAGGACCGTGGATATAATGTATTCATAAACTTCAGACAACTCACTATTTAGGAACACACTGAATAGTTGTTTTGGAATTTTCACACAAAAACACTATACGAAAAAAGATGGGTGCTTCCATTGTTTTCTTTCCGAAAACTCAAAAAATAAAATAAAATAAAATAAAAACAAAACCAAACAATAACTCCAATTTAATAGTTTTTAAAAGTAGCAATTACACCAAGAAATTTAGCAAAATTACTCCCACAGTGATATGCGATTTTGTCTATATAGTATTTATGAACAATGAGAAATCATAACCTACATTAAGTAGGTCATTATTTGTCTTCAAACTACATAAGTCACATGTCTCACTATAATATTTTTTACTATACGATTAGTTTGGAACGCTACGTAGACAATGCCAGATAGTGCTCCGAAATTAGAGTATAATTACCTTAATTATACATAAGATTGAGCTTCTTGCTGTCTAGCCCAGTTGAGAGAGAAGGCAAATTCTTCAATGAGCATAGTGGTTACATGTATACTGTTTTTCATTTAAGGCGTTTACCATAAACAATGAAGTTCATGAGCTTAGACACTGTGAATTGAGCAAAAGTGTCACGATATAAGACTGCCAACCCAAGTGTCAATACAAATTGAAAGTAGTTATTTTCATAGCAAGAACTGAAGTTATAAACAGCTATGCTAGTTGCAAAGTAATAGAACACAGAAAATTCTCTATGTATATGAGTCCCACCTCTTATCCTTGTTCAGTAAAACTATTTCTGTACAAATAGAATTTTGAATTACAAATTGGAAATATCAATCAAACCAAGAAATCAATTTCTCCAAGGCCCTCATCATCATAATGTATCGACAACTTTTGTTTTCTTATATATATGTGAATGCCACATGCTTGTTAAAATGTCTACTACTCTTGAGAAGACTGTGTACTAGCTGTGTTCCCTCTGTTTTCTGCACTGAATGGTGTGATCAGGCAAGAGGAAGGATAATGATGAAGTTTGCAGACTTAATTGATGAAAATGCGGAGGAACTAGCCGCCTTGGACACCATTGATGCTGGGAAGTTGTTTAGTTTGGGGAAGTCCCCAGATATCGCTCTATCATCAGGAATTCTCCGTTACTATGCAGGCGCAGCAGATAAAATTCATGGAGAGACATTGAAAATGTCGGGGGAGCTTCAAGCGTACACGTTGCGTGAACCTATTGGTGTTGTAGGGCACATCATTCCTTGGAACTTCCCAAGTTCCATTTTTTTCATGAATGTTAGCCCGGCATTAGCTTCTGGGTGCACCATGGTTGTCAAGCCTGCTGAATAGACACCGCTTTCAGCTCTCTATTATGCTCATCTGGCTAAGCAGGTAAGCATATGACTAAAAATTCATTTGACAATGTTTTCAGTTTCATGTTCAGTTTTTAGAAAGTGAAAACATGTTTGGGTTAGACAACTTGTTGCCATAAATTTGTTTTAAAAAAGGAAAAAGAAAATTGTTTAGATCAAATATAGATATAAAATTGTACCAACAGTATTCATTGGGGTCATTGATTTATTTTCAGAAACAAATGAAAACAATAAAATCCTATGGCCAGAAATTTTCATCTTTTTATACAGATAAACAATAGACCAAACAAGCTTTTGTTTCTTGTTTACACACAAAAACTGAAAACAACAGCATTATAAAACTGACACCTGCAAATTTCATGTCACTTCATTTGCCTCTCTATAAAGCCCACCTGATGGTTTGTTATTTTCTCAACCAGGCTGGCATCCCCAATGGAGTCCTGAATGTTATAACCGGATTTGGACCAACAGCCGGTGCTGCAATTGCCTCTCATATGGAAATGTACATTTGAAACGAGTAAAGTGAAGGGCTGGAGATGCCTTTAGGCATATTCAATGTGCATGTCCAACTAGACATATTGGACAAATATTTCATATCCTTACTCAAGTGTCGAGTGTCTGATATGGTTAATTAACAAATTTAGAAGAGCACGTGTAACACAAGTTATGATTTTCATTATTAACACAAAATTGAAATTAAAAAATAAAAATAAAGAAATAGGGAATAGGAAAGATAGAGAAGGATTACTTCAGGTTATGCATCATACTTTCTTTTTTCTTTTTTCTTGACAAGTATACATGTCATACATAACTTTATTTTCTAAGGATCCATTATTGCATAGCTTTGAGTTGGTTTTGTGAAAGAGAAAGGAATCGTGAAATCAATGTGCTTAAATTATTTGCAACACTCAAGAGGATTCACATTTGTTGTATATCACTTGAATATAAAAAGGCATTGAGTGCAAGTTTAGGGCATCTTACACCTTTGCATTGCAGCACCTACCTTTCTTATTTTCTTCATTTAATTCGGGGTCATGATGGGAGATAGGCAAGATTTGTACCAAATTTTCTACTTCTTTCTACAGTTTGTTGTGGTTCACCATCTCCCTTTTCTCTCTCTTTACTTTTCTTTTCTTTCCCCTTACTGTTTCTGAGAATCACATTAGACCTCCACAAAATTGGAAACTCAACTTTTTTTTGTTAATTTTGTCCATTTTTTCAAGTTATAGAACTGATATTGATGACCTTGTGTAGTGATGCATACGTTACAGGGATAAACAACAATGAGTATCAAATAACAAGAGGAACAGTAAGTAATTTTCATGTTGGTGTATAACAAAACTATTTCTTCATATCTGCATTGATTTTGAATACATACTATTATAGTGGAATCTCCTAGTTAAAATTCAACTATCTTTCCTGTTCATAACCACTAATCAGTTAAGAGTTTTTTGCTTGTTTATATGCTTTGAGTGCTTTGGTTGCTCTGCAGGAACTAAACCGCATTGCAGGAGTGGACAACAACTGCAGCTATGTGAAGGCTGACTTCATGAATATGCCATTCTCTGACAACAGTTTTGATGCAAAATTTGCAATAGAAGCTACCTATCATGCACCAAATGTGGTATGCTGTCAGAATGTTCATTAGGTTCATGTGTAAATTTGTCTAATCTTACATATCGGGTTGTATAGTTCCCTCTATTTATATATAATTTGTTTTATCCTTTGTGTGTGTGTGTGTGGGTGGGTGGGTGTTAACTAGGTGGATTGCTACAAAGAGATTTTCAGAGTGTTGAAGCCTAGCCAATGTTTTGTTGCTTATGAGTGGTGTATCACTGATTCTTTTGATCCCAACAATAAAGAGCACCAGAGAAACAAGGTTCTACTGATTCAATATGCCTTTTGACTTGCTTTCTCTGTAGGAAGACAAACTTAATTTCTTTGGAAACAGGGTGAGGTTGAGCTTGGTAATGGACTTCCAGATATCAGGGTCAATGAAACAATGTCTTGAAGCTCTGAAACTTGGACTCAAGAGGATTCATATTCACTAATGTAAGTTGTAAAAATTTACGGAACAAGCACGGTAAAATTTGGTTTAAAATTTACTTTGAAATTTTTATTTTTTCTCTTCTAGATTGCATATTAACATATTTAGTGAATGGTTACCTTAACCTTTTGTTGTTGTTGTTTTTTTATTTTTTCTTTTTTAAATGGCAGATTGGAGATGAACGAATTTGGTAACCTGCATAGCAAGAGTTTTTTGTTAATATTACCAGACACATCCATCACAGTGTAGTTGTACTTTTTGTTGATATTACCAAACATGTATTTTGACTATGTTGTTGTGGGTTATGATTATATTGTGATGTATCTAATCTTTTTGTTGATATTTTATTGAATAGATCAAAATGAATAGGTTTTTGTTGATGTTACCAAATGAACAAGTTTTTGTAATGATTTGTAATGGATATTATATTCAGCAGGTTATTAAAATGCACAAGTTATTTTGATTGTGTTGTAGTTTTTATTTTACTAGAATAGATGTTATAGTTTGGATGTTATATATTAATTTCTTGATACTATGATACATGTATTTTGTTTGGGTTGTTTTATGATAATGAACAGTTTAATTTTATATTGATTTGTATTAGATATTTTATTTAATAGATTATTAAAATGTACAGGTATTGTTTATTGAAAAAAATATATAAATTGCAAATATAACCCTCCCCTCAATTTTTAAAATTTATTTATTATTGGCGACGAAAAAAAATTAACACTAAAACTTTCTATTCCCAACAAATAATTTCGTTACACATATTTACTATTTCATCACTAAATTAAAATATTTGTTGACATAAGTTTTCGTCACTGAAGGATCTTTTTTTTCCATCTTTTGGTGACGATATTTTCGTTACTAAAAATTTTATCGCTATTTTTAATGACGAAATATTTTGTCATCCAAAACAAATGTAATAAAAGTTTATTTAATTCTAGTGATGAAATGGATGTTATAGGTGACAAAATATTTAACATTTAGTGACGAATTATTTCGTCACCAAATACCAATAATAGGTGACAAAATAAATTTTCGTCATCAGGTACTTTTAGTGACGACGAATTGATGACAAACGTGGTGACGAAATTATTTCGTCACGGATCAATTTAGTGACGAAAATTTCACTATTGGAGACGAAGTGATTTTGTCATTAAAGTACCATTTTGTTGTAGTGGCCCTACTCCAGACCACAACCACAACAGCAACGACAATAACCGCAGCAACAGATCCAAAGAGGAGGCTATCAACAAAGGCCGGTGGGACAAATCCAGTGCTTTCATTGCCAACAATTAGGGCACAAAAAGAGCGAATGCTCCCAACTCTCTCCATCTGGATACCAAGGAGGAGGTTCCGGAGCAAATACCCAGGCATTAGGAGGGCAGAAGCCTTGAACAAATAAGACAGGATCTACCGGGCAGTAGCACCAGAGGAGTGGAGGAACTCAGAACGCCAAGACCAGTGGCAACCAGAAGGCAGCCGACAGAGTCTTTGCCCTACAAGGGGAAAAAACGGACCCGTCCGTAATTGAGGGTAATTTAGTACTATACAATTCTTGGGTGCATGTTTTATTTGATACCGATGCATCGCATTCTTTTATATCCTCTGCTTGTGCTAAGTCATTAGAACTTGTATGTGAACCTTTAGAAATTGCCTTAAGTGTAATGTCACCTATGGGAGGATGCGCTCAGGTAGGATCAATCTGTAAGGACTGTAGGATAGGGATGTCGAACGTATGCTTAACTTGCGACCTTCGTATCATGGAAATGTCGGACTTCGATATCATCTTGGGCATGGATTGGTTGTCCGCCCACCGAGCGGTGATCGACTGTCGTCAGAAGAAAGTGGTAGCTCATACGCAAGATGGAACACGTTTCCGGTTTAAGGGGGATAGACAAGACCCCATGGCTTCAAACAAAACATCGGATGCAGTGGCACGATCAACTTGCGGGTAGGATAGCAAGTCTGATTCTAAATGAGGAGGGCCAAGGAGAAATAGAACTTTCGCGCGTAGTATGCGAGTATGCAGATGTATTTCCTACGGAATTACCAGGATTGCCACCAACCCAGGAGGTAGACTTTAGCATTGAGCTACAACCTGGAACTACCCCAATATCCATGGCTCCGTATCGCATTGCACCAGCAGAGCTACGAGAATTGAAGACACAACTACAAGAATTGCTCGAGAGAGGATTCGTTAGGCCAAGTACTTTGCCATGGGGAGCACCCATGTTGTTTGCTAAAAAGAAGGATGGATCGTTAAGGCTATGCATCGATTATCGTCAACTCAATCGAGTCACGATTAAGAACCGATACCCACTCCCAAGGATTGATGACCTTTTTGACCAACTTAGAGGCTCAAGGTGCTATTCAAAGATCGATCTCAGGTCAGGTTACCATCAACTACGAGTCAAGGAGGAGGATATACCAAAGACTGCCTTTCGTACTAGATATGGCCACTATGAGTTTATAGTAATGCCCTTCGGACTAACCAATGCACCGGTGGTATTCATGAGCCTAATGAATAAGATTTTTAGACCATACCTTGACCAGTTTGTAGTAGTGTTCATTGATGACATCTTGGTATACTCAAGGTCTGAAGAAGAGCATGAGAAATATTTAAGGACTGTCCTCCAAGTTCTTAGGGATAATCAGTTATATGCCAAGACGAGTAAATGTGAGTTCTGGTTGAATGAAGTAAAATTCTTAGGGCATCTGGTATCAAAGAATGGGATTACGGTGGATCCATCCAAGGTGGAGGCAGTATTAGATTGGAGACAACCAAAAACCGTGTCAGAAATCCGCAGCTTCTTAGGATTGGCTGGTTATTACCAGAGGTTCATTCAAGATTTCTCCAAACTAGCTAAACCAATGACTCGTTTGACGCAAAAGGGAGTAAAGTATGAGTGGGACGAAGCTTGCGAAAAATCCTTCCAAGAGCTAAAGAAGAGGTTAACTAGTGCGCCAATTTTGACCATCCCAGAACAAGAAGAATGGTACACTGTGTATTGCGATGCGTCCAAAGAAGGGTTAGGTTGCGTGCTCATGTAAAATGGAAAGGTAGTCACATATGGGTCCAGGCAGTTGAAACCTCATGAGCGCAACTACCCCACACATGACTTGGAGTTAGCAGCCGTAGTTTTTGTCCTAAAGCAATGGCGACATTACATGTATGGGGAACAATTTGAGATTTTCACAGATCACAAGAGCCTGAAGTATCTATTCACACAGAAGGACCTTAACTTGAGACAGAGACGATGGATGGAGTATCTTGAGGATTTCCAGTTCACTCTCTCATATCACCTCGGTAAAGCCAATGTAGTAGCAGATGCTCTAAGTTATAAAAGCAGAGGGATGATGTCTAAGATCTCCGTCAAAGAATGGGATATGGTTAAGACACTCAGTGAGTTCAGGATCCAAGTGGAATCTCGAGATACGAAAGCATATCTTAGTGCCCAGAAGGTGATGCCTAAGTTGATGAATGAGGTCATGGAGGCCCAGAAACACGATCAAAAGGTAGCCTACATCAAGGGACGTCTGGAATCAAGAGAGCCCATGCCCGATTGGGTAATTCACCCCGATGGGAGTTTAAGATGCCAAGGTAGATTGTTTGTACCAAGTGACGAGTTACTTAGAGAAAAGGTACTGAAGGAATGTCATCATTCAGCATTTGCGGTGCATCCAGGAGGGACCAAAATGAACCAAGATTTGAAGAGGCAGTATTGGTGGAATGGAATGAAGAAGGAAGTGGCTAGGTTTATAGTGAAATCTCTGACATGCCAACAAGTGAAGGCGGAACATCAGAAACCAGGGGGAATGTTGCAACCTCTACCAATAACCGAATGGAAGTGGGAGTACGTGACGATGGATTTTGTGATAGGGTTGCCTAAGTCACCTAGAGGGTGCGATGCTATATGGGTAATAGTGGACCGTCTTACCAAGTCAGCACATTTCTTACCCTCTAAGATGACCGACGCTTTAGAGTCTATGTGCAGGCTCTACATTGGGGATATCATTCGGCTACATGAAATTCCGTATCTATCGTGTCAGATCGTGATCCACGGTTCACCTCTCGATTTTGGGGGAGCTTACAGGAAGCTCTTGGTACTGAGTTATGTTTTAGCACTGCCTTTCACCGGCAGACGGATGGACAATCTGAATACACTATCCTGACACTCGAAGACATGTTGAGAGCTTGCGTAATGGATTTTCAAGGAAGTTGGGAACGACACCTACCTCTAATTGAATTAGCCTACAACAACAGCTTTCAAGCTAGCATCGGTATGGCGCCCTTTGAAACATTATATGGATGACCTTGTAGATCACCGATTTGTTAGACGGGAGTGGGTGATGCAAATCTGATAGGACCCGAACTTGTTCTAGAGACTACGAAGAAGGTCAAATTGATCTGACAACGGTTAAAGACTGCCCAAGACCGTCAAAAGAATTATGCAGACAGGAGGAGAAGACCATTGATGTTTGAAGTAGGCAGCCACATGTTCCTAAAGGGGCAACCTAGGTGTGGAGTCGTACGTTTTGGGAGAAAGGGGAAGCTGTCACCACGATATATTGGACCTTTCGAGGTATTGGAGAGAGTGGGCGAAGTAGCATATAGACTAGCTCTACCCCCGCAGTTAGCAGGGATACACAACGTCCCGTTGGTAGGCATCCGAGGTTAGTTCTGCAACAAAGCAACAAAAGAGGGGGCATATCAGTCTTGACAAAGATGTTACGTTTAAAGAAGGACCGGTAGCAATACAGGATTGCCGAGAAAAGAACCTTAGAGGCAAGACGGTTCACTTGGTGAAAGTGCTATGGCATCATTGGGGAATTGAGGAATCTACTTGGGAACGCCAGGATTGGGTGAAGGCAAACTACCTCGAGCTTTTCGAAGGCAGTATGTAGTTAAATTTCATGGACGAATTTGTTTTAAGGGGGATAGGTTGTGAAGCCCCTGGAACATATATTCACTTTAAAAACCTTAATGTTTGAATT